AACTGTGCAGATATTTTTACATCTAAGGGATATAGAAACAAGTCTTTTATTTTAAAAGCAACTATTACTGCATCTCAGCAGAGGTTTTAATGAGCTAAAGGGAAACCAAATCTTTTATAGATTTTTGTTGGTTTTTAAATAAATAACTTTCATTCTTAAGCTAAAAGCTGCAGATGTTTGTTGGTTAGAGTCTCCTCCTTTAATCCAAGTTGTTTGTAAAGAAGAAGCTTTGCAGACAGAGCTGCTGGTTCCAGAGGTTATTAGTGCAAACATTTCAATATGATTGAAGATTAAACACATTTAGCTGCTTTTTTCCCAAACCTGCTGAGTTTTATGGTGCAGGTTAAACATGATGTGAAGGAAAAATGATGCCACAGCTTTTTTTTTTCACTCTGCTCTACTTTATCTGATGCTGTGACCTATTTGGTTTCTCTGTTGCCTCCACAAGATGGTCTCACAGCGCTGCAGGGCTCCCGCTGCTCCACAAACACAAACTCATCTCGCTTTGTTTGCTCTTCTTCCTGCTTCCCATCTGCATAAAAAACTCCCAGCGTCTGATGAAAGGATGCAGCGGATGTTTCTGTGCAGCTTCAGAGGAAGAGGCCGAGCAGATGAACCTTTACTGTGACTCTTTGTTTGCTTTACATCTGCCTCCAGCTTCTTTCTGTGCTTTATCATAAACTGGGCCGGACTGTAAACTCATTCTTTTTATTTTAAGAATGTTGAGCAGATATTTTCATTGAGATTTCTTTCTTCTGTCAGTTTTCTTGCGTTTTTACCCACCTTGAAGCCCATCTTGCCTTTCTTGCAGCAGAGGCAGGCCAGCATGAGGAAGACGAAGGTGAAGAGTCCAGAGAAGGAGATGGCCACCACAGCCAGGGAGGAGGACCAGGAGAGCTCGCTCAGCGGGGCGCCATCTGCAGGAGAAGCAGCATGTTTAACTCCACGCTGCAGCAGGATGTTAGGAGCTGCGTGCTTTTTACAGCCACTCATTCAAAATCATTCTTCAGTAAATATTTAAAAAAATAACTTCAATTTCACCCACAAAATCTTTCAATACATTTCAGATATTTAGCACAAAAAAAATTCTAATAAACTTACACAATTTATCCTAATTAATTTGATCTAAAATATTATTAAACAACATTTTTGTAATTATTTAACAAATATAAAATATTTTCTTTGGATACAAAATGAATATGAAGTTTAAAAAAAAAAAACAGCTTGTATTTATTAAACATTTATAACATTAGTAGTAAATCTAAAGTATTTTAATCAATGATTTCATTCTTTATGATTAATTGTTTGACTTAATTGAATTAATAACTGTCACTTCGGCAGCAGGATTTTCAAAGTAATCTTATTTTCAGAGTTTAGCTTTTTTAATTTCTGTATCTTCGCTGGATTTTATGTTTTTCTACAGAAACATTTGCATGTTTGATTTAAATACCGTGAGGCGTTACAGTCCTGAATATTTCCCTCATAAAACAATAAAGTGTAATAAAACACTGCATCATAAAGCCGGCATAGAATGGCTCCAATAGAACAGTTTAATTTATGGAGCGGAGCGGATCCTGAATGAAAACATTTCTGCCATTTAAAGCATTTTCCCCAATAAAACGTCAGGATTCAGGAGAGGTGCTTAATGGAGTTTAGGGATGTTTCTGGGTCACAGCGACGCTGCAGTGACCCAGAAACACACTCACGCTGTGAAATCACCTGCTGCAGAAAAACAAAATGGAGCTAAATATTGAAAGGCAGGGACTGAACCCGCCTCTTTATTCCACTACCTGAATAAAATGTCAGTTTTTGTTCCTGTTTGTTGCTCTTTGGGAGGAGGATCAACATTTTAGCCTGGCATATATGAATCAACAGTAAACTGTATGATTTTTTCCTCCAGAGTTTGATGTTTTCCAATAACACTGGATCAATGTTGACCAGCGTTATCTGCAGGTAATGTAGCGATCATTTCTGCTGCTGCTGAGATCACAAACACACCAGAATCCACCTGCTCTGAATCCTGACTTTACAGTTTGAGTCCAACCCAAAACAGGTGGTTCAGTCACCCTACAGTGTGATGGTTTAAGGCGGGAAATATAGCTGCGACAAAAACAAAGATGGATGCCGTAGGGTAGCTGCTGATAGCGTCTCTGTTTGCTCAGAATATAGGATTTAATCTTTAAAAGAGGCCTCAGCAGATGGCCGCTCACACTGAGCCTGCTTCTGCTGGAGGTTTCTTCCTGTTCAAAGGGAGTTTTTCCTCTCCACTGTCGCTACAAGCATGCTTAGTGTGAGGGATTGCTGAAGAGTCAAATTGCTTTCCTTAGATAGTAAACTTTAAATCAATGTGACTGGGTGATCTGG